CCAGAAAGCAGACTTATATTGGGCACATTCCTAGAGGATAGTTCTCACCTGACTCAGCTCTTTCCTACCTTACAGGCTTGTTGCGGTGCCCAAAGACCTCTCCGAGTTCCTCAGAGGAAAGACTTGGTATGGATCCAGCAAGTGAAATCTTTTTCTCTATTGCTGATCTCCACACTCTCTGCAAATGGCTGTCGTTTTACCCTGTAAAGCAACCTGCCAAAGTTCTGTCCCTGCAGCGGAGGGAGAGCCATCACCAGCAGGTTAACAAGTTGCAGACACAACTCACTGACTGGAACATATTCCTGACAGCAACAAGGAAGCTCACATTATCCATCCCTCATAGCCATGAAAAAAAGCTTAAATCAAGTAGGCCATAGAGCTGGGTTACTGATCAAAGCAAACTCATTCCAGACAAAAACAGAAACAAGGTGCAATTATTTTCTAGTAGGGCTTAATGGGCTGCAATTGAGGAGAAGCATTTTTATGAATTAAAGGGTTGAGTTATGGTGATCAATGAGGTGCCAATCAAAAAGCCCTTCCTTCCTTCCGCACAGGTGATGAGGCTTCCCTGCTATGGTGCAGCTGAAACCACATGAAATAACCTTGATGCTAGTTAGCAACTGGATAGAAGCCAAGGCAGTAATATTCCCTATTAGCACAGCATATGTGAGGGTGACAGGACTCTTGGATCCTCATTATTGGGACTTCTTACCATCCCTTTCTTGTAGCATGGGTCCATCTATGGTTATAATAGTGCAATGCTTTAATAATTGGAGTTCACCTCCCAGAAGCCCCAGGCAGTGGGATAGTACTCAGGGATAATGAGAGTTGAAGTCTAGAACTTCAAGAGAACCAGAGATGACAAACCATCTCACTATTCCACTGCATGCATTTATTTCTGCATTTTGTATCCCACCTTTTGCCCCAATCTGGAACTCATGGCATGAAATGTACAAAGGAAAATAAACTCCCCAAATGTGTAATGTGACAGCGCAGCTAAACAAATGCTAATATTTAAACACAATTGAATTAAAAGGAAATTTAAAAGCCTGCCAATTCAAAACAATTCAGTGCCTACCCATTAAAAGCCCTTTCTGCAACAACCAGTATATTGTCAGCTGAATAAAAAGAGCTTCTGGAGGAAAGAAAACAGCAAGGGACTACTCTAGCTTTACCTGAAAGGGACCTCCATAGCCTGGGAGCATCCACCAAGAAAGCCCTCATTTTGGTCTTCGTCAAATATGCTTCCAAGAGTGTTGGGATCAAGAAAAAGGCTAGGTACCTTCTTTTACAACATCAGGAAAAGAACTGTCAGTAGTGTAATCCATACCATCCAACATATCACTATCTGGGGCACATTGTAACCAAGCAACATCAGAGTGTAGTCAATATGATAAAATTATTAATGAAGAAAAACACACAAGTTAAGCGAGGCTGCAGCAGTTTCTTTTTGCCTGAACCTACTGGGAAAAGCAAGTTTCTGCTCATCTTTTTTCCTCCTCTGTTGAATTAAGTGAATGCAAACTACTTTGTGTGCTTTCAGCTCAGTTTCTACCAATGGAAATAAGTCAGGGACAAAACGAGAAAGTGGAAGGAAGTGTGAGAAACTGGGATATTTTAAAGGCAGCTGCTGACATGGAGCCACATTGGGACAATTGGAGGGTATGGTAACCCCTGGTTTTGCTAGCATAGAGCCTTAGAACGATTCTGGCCAGTTGTCTCCAACTCTTGACAGCTGCATAACTTTGCTTAAAGGCTCCAGTGTGTCAAAGGAAGGGCTATTTCAACCCATTTGAATCTGAGTACTGTTACTAATTTGTATTAAATTGTATGTGTATGTGTTTTGGTAATCTTTTTTATGTAAAAATAAAAAAAATGAAAGAAAGAGAGGGAGTTGGGGAGTATCATTAAAGTGAACAATTCATCAAGAGCCATGTCTACATTTCTTGGCATGGTCCAACATAAGGCAGCTGGCCTGTAATGGCATTTTAATAGTGTCATAATATGGTGCTTCTTTTAGGTGTGTCAAGTAGTAATACTTCATCACATTCATGATTTTGGCAGGCATAGTACTAGCAGGACCTGTGGGGGTTTTCTATAAGCTATCATAGCTGCATCCAAATATCCTTTCAAAGTCTATGTTACCAAGGTTTCCCACAGACCACAGAGAAGAAAAGAAACTATATATCTGTTTGGATTTTGCTCTCCCTTTTTCTCAATTACTTTTGATTTTCATTTGATGTAACACAGTGAAGTTTATGCCAAGCAGTAATGTATCTTTCTAACCTAAATGTACCCTCCCTCCAAGGAATCCAGGATGCCATGCACAGTCTTGTGTCTTTCTACCCACCCCATCCTTGGCAGATTGGACATTATTGTATGAAGCTCTGTTATTGCCACAGCCACATTCTGTTTGCAATACTCTGGGATTGCAACACTCATTTTGCATTCTCTTGGAATTGTGAGATAGCAGCGCTTGGTTGATGGCAGCTCATTGAAGCGCCTTACTACAACTGCCTTGCTTACCCCACTTGCTATCCATTATTGTACTTGCTTGTGCGTGCATGGTTTTTTTTCTTAGTATAATTTTAGCATATTACCTTTTTAGGACTACAGCTTCCAGAATCCATGCTAGCCCTGCTGGCTAGGGAATTCTGGGAGTTGTAGTCCAAACTAAGTTTTCCAAAGGTATTTATATATATTATGCACATGCATATTATATGCAATTAGAGACTTAAGGGGGAAGCAGATGGCTAAAAGAGCCGTCTTGGGGGCAAGGAAGGGGAGGGGCAGGTGCACGGTGGGTGCCCCAACCCCTTCCCAAAGTCATAGTCGGAGCGCCAGCCCCTCTGCATGGCCGGCGCTCCGACGATGACTTCCCGCCGCAGCATTCGCAAACGATGTGGCGGAAGAGTCGTCGAAGGTGAGCCACCAGCCTTTTGCAGTGCACCTTTGGTGACTTGTGGAAGGAGTGCTATTTTAGCGCTCCTTTCAGGGGCAGCGAAGCTGCGCTGCGGGGCCGAGGTGTGGGGATACCGTGGCACTGCGGCACAGCTTCCCGGGGCGGCCCATGGCCGCCCGTCTACTTAGCCCCTTAAATCCTTAGATGAAAGGCAACTGTGCTGGCTTTAAGGGTCACTTTTATGTGCCTGACACCCTCAGGAAGTCACACAAACTGCCAGAAATGCCCCCTCCCATACCCCCCCAAGATGTGGCTTGAAGTCCCCTTCTGACTTTAAAAACTGGCATATTACAATATTAAACAGCACAGCAGAATCTTGAATCCTATTTAAAAGGGAAATTGCTGCTTCTAGAGGCATCCTTCACAGACAGTTAACCTTTTTTTTTTTTGGCCAGAAAAAGAGTGGTCCAGAGTTCTGGAAGCTGCAAAAAGAACCGGAGGGTGCTGTTAAAACAGAATAACTACATTTTAACTGTAACAATTTGTATGTTTTTACCTATTTTTAATTTTTCACTTTTTTGGTAATTTTTGTAAGCTGCCTTAAGACCTCATTCTTGACAAAAGAAGCAAAATTAAATCAATAATAATAATAATCAATAATATCATTAAAATTATCATAATCTCACTGATTCTTAGATTCTTGGATAGAATTTGAATCACTGGTAGTGTAAAACTTCAGTGAGTGATATCTGGTATATTATGAAATGGAGTACTGTACAACAACAACAACAACATTTGAACAAAATCATCATAGACAGGATCCTAATAGCATAATTACAAAAAGTGACACTGCTTGGAACATGCCACATTTTCCAGTCATATGTCACTGATACGTAAATCCTTTGATGAAGTCCAAATCATTGTTGGCCTAAAACTCCATTTGGTAAAACCTAGAAAAAGCCAATGACAAACTCCGTCTGAACAAACCTTGCCAAGAAAACCCCATGATATCATTGCCTTAGGGTTGCCATAAGTCAGAAACAACTTGAAGGTACACAACAACAACAAGTGAACTATGAAACCTATGATTTTTATTATTATTTAAAGATGACGACGATATGGCCTTATTGCTCTCTGCATTAGAGGCAACTTAGTACCCACCAATAACCATCATGGCACCATAAAGTTAGTGCTTTGGTTCATTTTGGCATTGGTTGGAGCAAGAACTTTGACTTCCAAAACTAAGGGAAGTGAGGAAGACAAATAGTGGACATGTCCCAGGGCTAGAGTCAACTCTACCATTAGCCAGAGTGAGTGGCCTGCCTCAGGAGGCTGATGGTGGGACATATGGAGCAGATGTGAGGTGTCAGAAGATAGGGCACTGTCTGTGTTGGTTATACAATCTGTTTTGTCCCCCCAGAGTTAGCTTCCTAACCTCAGGCCAAAGCTTGAGTTAACTCACTATATGAGAGAGGTGTGTTTGCCTATGCGATGAGAAAACAACATCCTTTAATTGTAGGAGAGTTCTGGAGGAATGAGGAGTTACATGAGACCGTAGAGTTACAATTCATTAGGAAGTTCCTGTCTGTCACCATAGGACTGAAATGTAGTCAAGGGTTCTTATCACACTCCATGAGTTAGTTGGTTTACCTAGTGTCAGAATCCTTGTGTGATCAGCAATGTTTTGTGAAGTGCCAGGGTAAAGAATGTTGATTGTCAACATTCAGTACCTTCTGCATTTCAGTACTCTTTCACATTGCCATCCACAGTCGCATTCCCAACTGTGTGTACTACGTAGATAGCCTTAATCAGCACTACTTACAACACAGGAATTTTTCTTGTATCACTTTCTTCACAAGGAAAGTGATGGGTTTGAAGACGCAACATTCCTGTACACATGGGGTCTCTCTTGAGCAAGAAGGTTGGGACATCAGGGTTGTTGCTGTTGCGTACCTTCAAGTTGTTTCTAACACACGACAACTCTAAGCCACACTTATCATGGAGATTTCTTGGCAAAATTTGTTCAGAGGGGGTTTGTCATTGCCTTCCCCTGAGGCTGAGAGCATGTGACTTGCCCAAGGTCAGCCAGTGGATTTCATGGCCAAGCTGAGAATTGAACCCTGGTCTCCAGAGCTGTAGTCTAACATCAAACCACTATACCACTCTGGTTCCCCTGTAACATCAGGGTAATAATCATGATTTTTAAACAAGCTGCCTTTCTTTACAATCTGTGCACACTCCACAGTTAACAACATTTTAATAATACTTTAACTGTCATGGCTCCATCTTAGGGTCTTGTAGGTGGGTGAGTTTTAATCCATTGTGCCCCTAGCTATTTGATGCAGAGGAATCAGTAATTATTACATATTTTTTCCAGTGTTCCAAAGACTAGTAAAATATTTGCACCCTTTAGCTACAATTGTTTCTCTTTTTCCTGGAAACTTGCAAGGGACAATAAGCAATGACCTGTACCAATCCATGGACACCAACTTTGAGCATTACTTCTCTAATCCACTCCTCTAAATAACAGCACTAGAGCTCTCTTACATAAAATCCTAAGTACCTCAGCAAACTACAAATTCCAGGATTTCCTAGATTGGAGACATGAGGATTAAAAGTGGTATCAAAATGCTGTAATTATGTACTGTGGTTTAATCATTTATAAAACTATGTGTATAACCTATTTTGTAAAGATGGAAGGCAGAATATATGTGTTGTTGTTGTTGCTGCTGTCATCATGAGCCTTCAAGTCAACTCTGGCATACGGTGACCCCATTATAGAGTATTCTTGGCATGTTATATTCAGAAAGATTTGACATTGTCTTCCTCTCAGGTTGGAAAAGTGTTACCATACCCTCTATCTTCCAATTTCTCAGACACAGCCTCAATTGATCCTCTGTCACCCCACTTTTGCTTTAAAGTGTCCCATTTTCTCTCTGCTCCTTCCACTTTCCCCCTTTGTCTTCAGCTTGCCTCAATTGCTGCAAACAGTTCAAAGAGCAAAAGTAGTTTGCACTCCATTAATTCAGCAAGAGGGAGAGGAGAGGAATGTAGACTCACGCAAAAGCAAACGGCTGCAGCCTCTCCTAGCTTGTGTATTCTTCCTTATTAATGTCGTCTGTCATCATGACTCTGATGGCGCTTGGCCACATGTGTTCCAATGTTAATCTGTGAAATGTTGGTGGGCATACATATTACCAGTTCAGAACTGGCTGCAGTGGCTTCCAATTTGTTTCCAAGATCTAGTAAATTCTTTACAAATGAACCAAATGAAAATTCTCCATTTTCACCAGCCAATTTCAGCAGGCCCTCTACATTCACTGGGGCTAGGGGTGCAAGACCCCCATGAAAATGGGAAAACCATAAATAAAAAAACACTCTTTTTTTAATCTGAGGAATCTCTGGTGGAAAATGACCATAGAATAGTGCTGGAAGACCTCAAAATGCCTAAATTGACCATAGAATCACACTAGAGGACCTAGAGATTCCTAGAGAGAATATATTAGTCAGATCTGCAAATAATCAGAACTGCAAAAGTCAGAACCACAAATGTGGAGGGCAGACTGTATAATTATTCCCATCTTGGAGGGCCATGGTGTACCTTCCTGACATTTTTGACCCTGGACCTAAATGAACTGCATTTGCTACCAATGTGGTTCCGAGATCAATTAAAGGTGTTGGTGTTGGCTTTGGGGCCAGGATATCTGAAGGCCCTATCACACTACAGAATTAAAGTGCTATGATTCCACTTTAACTGCAATCCAAGGGACTCATGTGATTTGGAGAATAGGGATGGATATTTAGAATTCTCATCCAGAGAACCCTAGTGCCTCATCAAACTACAAATCCTATGATTTCTTAGGCTGGAGCCATGACAGTTAAAGTGAACCATAGAGCTATAATTCTGTAATATGAACAGGCCATGAAAGGCCACCTCTTCCTGTCATCTTGACTACACTTTGACATTGCTTGGTCACACATGCCCCAGTTTTCTTTTGTGAAATATAGGCGGTTGTGTCTTACTTGCCTATGATTATCTACAAGGTTTCCATGGCTGAGTGAAGATTTGAACCCTGGTCTCCGAGAGGTCCAGTTCAAAACTCTAATCACTACGCTACAATGATGTTCTCACTCTGTTTTCTCTTTATAGTCCTATAAACATCCCTCTTTGCTTTCTGCCTTAAGTGGTGACTTTGTTGTTCCTGGCTTTGCAATCTCACCCAGCCTGTATATGTTCCATTGCCACAACATCCAATTCCTGCTGAAATCAAGGGTTGCATTGCAGAGGGGCAGGATAGAAATTAATTATTATAATTATTATTATTATTATTATTATTATTAAAGAAAAAGGCGTCTTGTGTTTTGGCACCCTGTTGTTGCCCAGTTCTACTGTCTTTGGAATTTGTTTTGCTTCTCCAAGTGAACCCCCTCACTTCTTGACTTGCTTGCATGTGCTTTTGTTGTGTGTGTGTGCGTGCATGTGTGTGTTGTTGAAACTATATTACTCTGCTCCAATGGACAGCTTTTTGTCGGTCTGTGTTTCATTACCCACCAACTTATGGAGGGACATTTTGTCAGAACTGCATTTGGCCTCCTTTGGATGTTAGAGGCTGGATTTGGAAGTAGAGGGGAGAGGGGGGCTGGTAGAGAAAAAAGTGGTTAAATTGAAAACACATTTCATTCGAAATGAGACACTAGACTATCTGCTTGATTTTGCACAAGGGCTAGGAGGAAACCTATATTAGTGGAACTGTTTCAGGGCAGGCATTAATTTCTCATCCTGGAAAGTAACCTATAGTGACCCTCTGGTTTCATATTCTATCCCTTCTTAAAAGTCTCTTTCTTCCTTTTCCCTTTTCAGTACCAAGTGGCAGGATGTAAACCACTTCCTCTGCTTTTCTCTCTTTCTTTTGGTAAAGCTTATGTTCTCTTAAGATTACAGTGGAAGCTGTTTTAGGGCTCTCATACTAATTTGAGATATTTGGGTAGGGATGTTGACTTTGGCTGCAATCCTATACATTTGCATCACCTAACCTTGTGCTGTGTGCTGGACTATAGCTCCCATCATCTCAAACCCAGTTTAACTATGGGGTGCAAAAAGAGGGCATTTCCCCCACAATAAGAATTCTCCCTGCCTGTGAAACTTTCCTTCACTCTCCAAATTTCTAACATTGTAGAGAGTGAGAGGCATTGAAAATTGTTGATACCTAGAATGCTTAGGAGCCACCATGTGTGGTGTTGTTATTTGAGTGTTGGACTCTTACCCTGGAGACCAGGGTTTGAATCCCGACTTATCCATAAAACCCACTGGGTGACTTTGTGAAAGTCACATGCTCTCAGCCTCAGGGGAAGGCAATGACAAACCTCTTCTTTAGAAACTGGTAAGAAAACCCCATGATAGGTTTGCCTTAGGGTCACCATAAGTTGGAAACAACGTGAAGGCACACAACAACAAAAGAACTCTTACATTTGCTACGTCTTCATCCCCTTGGTCACTTTCCCTGCCCCTTTACTTTGGATGCCTAAACTATATTTCTAAATGCCCAACTGAAGTTTTATGTCACTGCAATGATGGGAAATTGGGGACTGAAGGGGAGAGAGAAGTCTTATTTGGTGGGCAATACTTTGATGATGATGACGGCCACAATCCTGTTGGGGTCTTACATCTTCATTAGTAGACTCCATAAGTGGACTTTGTAAATCTGTGGAAATTAAAGCTGCGCAGTTCTGTTACATTACTATGTAGTAGAGCTGGCAAGAGTGGCCCAAGTGCAACAGGACCAATGCTCAATGGGACTGATGCACAATGGGATACACTGTGCATTAAACACTCTTGCCAGCATCCCGTTAGGCATCTTCACAATTCATTAAAGGGGTTTCTCAACATCTCTATTTTTTAGCTAGGTGTATGTAAAAGTAAGTAATGTAGCAGGTCATATATGACTCTGGCAAGCAATAATACAGGTTGTGCTCAACTTTTCCAAAATTCTTTTTTAAAATTTTTTAAAATAATTTTATTGATTAAAAACATCATTAATTCCATACATATGACATATAAAATATAAACATAAATAGGAATACAAAACAATATTAAAGAATCTATTACAATACTATAAACAAACAAAAAAAGAAAAAACATAGAAAATAGAAAAAGAAAGGAAGAATAAAAACAAAACAAACTTTTCCAAAATTCTAAAATCCAAAATACTCCAAAATTTTCCTTATGGGTGGCTGAGATAGTGATACTTTTGCTTTCTGATGTTTCATTGGATGCAAACTTTGTTTCATGAACAAAATTATTTTTTTTAAATATAAAAAAAATTACCTTCAGACTATGTGTATAAGATGTATCTGAAACATAAATGAATTTCAAGTTTAGACTTGGGACCCATTTCCAAGATATCTCATGATGCATGTGCAAATATTGCAAAATCTGGAAAATCTCTGAAATCCAAAACACATCTGGTCCCAAGCATTTTGGATAAGGGAGACTCA